TGTTAGTAGTAAAACTGGGTATCTACATGTAGAAGATAAAAACTTGATACCTGCCTCTCACCCTGCACAAAAATCAACTTGAATGATCAAAGATCTTAATATAAGGTATGCAATTCTGAAACTCACAAAGGAAAACACGTGGGAAACACTTCAAAATATTAGTACAGGCAGTGATTTCCTGGACAGGACTCCAAAACCACAGGAAACAAAGCAAGAATTGACAAATGGAATTACAACAAATTAAAAAGCTTCTGCAGAGCAAAGGAAATAATAACACAGTAGAAAGACAACCTACAGAATGGGACAGAAATCTTTGATAGCTATTTGAACATAGTCTTAATATCCAGAATATACGAAGAATTCAAAGCTTAACACCAAAAGAACAAGTAATACTATCAATAAATGAGCAAGTGAACTAAACACTTCACTGAAAATGTTATAAAACATCAACACAATTACTACAATTGAACTCCATGTGTTCCAATAGCTAAAGCAAAGATTTAACAAGTTAACTAAGGAAGCACAGGTTTTTTTTTTCCAAAAGCAAAACAAACAGCTACCACTTGATCCAGCTATTCTACTCCTAAGTAACTACATGACAGAAATAAAAACATACAACCACAAAGTTTTGTACATAAACAGTGACAGCAACTTTATTAGTAACAACTCAAAACTGGAAAAGCAGAAAAATCTACCAAGAGGTGAATACATACAACAAATTATGATATATCCATATAACTGTGACTAGTACTCTACAATTAAAAGGAATAAATGATACATGTAACAACATAAGTGAATCTCAATATAGTCATGACACATGAAAGAAGGAAGATCCCCCAAAAAGTATATGCTATATGATTCCATTTATATAAAATTCCTGAACATATACATCAATCTTTGGCAACAGAAAACAGCAGGGGAATTAACCAAGGAGAACAATAAAGCTTTGGAGGTGATAAACCCTATCTTAATTGTGGTGATGGCTTCACAGGTTTAGTTATATATCCAGGACCACATTGATTCTCATGGGCTCCAGATACTTCTTTACTTCATGGGCCTCTTTCTCCATAAATACATATTTAAAACTTATATTTTTTATCAAATACTCTGAATATGTACAATTTATTAGATGTCAGGAAGGTATTTTAGGCAGTCAGGTCAAATATAAGAGAACTAAGTAAATCCCACAGTCTATGGCACTTCAGTTAACTGCTATATGTTTCTTATACATCCCTTTTATTTAAAAAGTGGTAAGAAAACTGAGATAAAGCACTAAAATTCCCAAAGCACTAAACAAATTGCTGATTAGCATGTTTAAAAGCATTCTCACTGAATTACACATGTGTTCTCTATATTAAGTAGCAGATTCTCACTGTGTATTGGTGATTCAATGTAACAACCTCTTTGCCAACTGCTTTTACTATAGAGACTATCATGACTCATCTAAAACATTAACCTTTACATCAACATACAAGTCAACGTTTGGGAAAGATATTTCTGCTATGCAAAGCAAAGACAGCTAACAAAATATATTAGATCAGAAATTCTACCTACTATTAGGTAGATACAATTATTGTTAATCATAGTTTATGGGATGTTTCTCCTAGAAACATTTTATATTACATTTGGTTACTTGGATACAATAGAATAACGTAGATCTTAATTAGGAAGATGATGGATGATGGCCTTAATCATAAAACACAAATTACAAAACTCTTATATATCAGGGGGGAGAAATGATGTATAAATTAAAAATAGGGAGAAAGATATAGCTCAGTAGTAAAGTGCTTGCCTAGCATGCACAAAGTCCTGGGTTCAAACTCCAGTACCACAAAAACATAAATAAAAATAAAGTTTAAAAAAATATATACTTTTAGTATTACTGAGGATTCATTCAAGCTGACATTAATACAATGCTTACCTAAACTATATTAACATAGGCATTGTGCTAACTATAGGAATCATCTCATTGAATCCTCAAAATGACCTTATAACATAGGTCAAATGTAATAGTATTACATTTTACAGTCGGAAAATAGGGCACAATAAGTTAAGTGGCCTATTAAATTATCACAGGGCCAGAAAGTGATAAACCAAACATGCAAATTCAGGTATACCTGCCTCCAGAGCTCACTCCAAACCACTATACTACACTAGTGCTACAAATTGGTTTTAACAGACATTCTAGTTGTAACACAGATATTTTGTTTGTCATGTTGAATTTCTATAAGATATTCAAGGACTGTGTAAAATCTTTGCATAAGTAAACATGGTGAGTCACCACAAATAATATTTAATGAATTATATGTGCAAGTAAGCTCCCAAATATTTAAAATATTTTGACCATTTTTTTTGTCTTTTGAGACAGGAGTCTCATTGTCCAAACTCAAGATCCTCCTGTCTGAGTCTCCCAAGTGCTGAGATTACAGGTGTGGACCACCACACCCACCTAGATTGACCTTGATTAAGAAAGAATGAAACACTGGAAATTTTCTGAACCCTCTGTGTTTAAGAGTAAAATTTAGTCAAGTAGTTCACATGGACAAGATCTTCTTTAAAAAAAAAAAATAACAACTATTACATACAGAAAAAAATAAGAAAATTAGAAAGTCACTATTTTGCAGCCCTTAATATAATAACAGAGCCAAGCAATGCAAAGAAGGAGTCCTAATTCATCACATGACTAGTATATAGTAACATTCTAATAGATGGATTCCCTCAACTCGATGACAATAGTGATATAAAACAAGGTACCCAGCACCAGCTCTGAATTATTTTGACTAAAAACAAAACCAAATGTAATCAAGTCACTAGCTCTATCAGTATACAGGAAATGTGAGGGACAAAGCATACAGTCACCCTAATCTACAATGTGAGGCATTCTAAAGAAATATTACACTAGTAACAAATAAAGCACAACTGAAAAACAGGGGACTTTTATTGATTTTAAAATATTATGAGAAATACCAATCAAGTAAAATGTATAGAAGTTATTTGGACCCTGATATGAACAATCTCACTATTAAAAATGTATTTCTTAATCAGAAATATGAGATGATACTAAGGAAGTAAAATTGTTGAGCACAGAAATGATATTATGGTAACACAAAATGAAAAAAATCTGTATCTGACAGTGATCATACTAAAGAATTTACAGATCAAATGTAATGGTGAATATTGTTTTAAACTGCTCCAGGAAACAAAATAAGGACAGACAGAGCTGAGGATGTGGCTCAAGTAGTAGAGTGCCTGCCTAACATGCAGAGATTCTGAGTTCAAAAGTCAATACCACACCTATAAATTTAAAAAAAGGATAAAGGGAAAGATGAAATAAAACTGGCAAATTGAGTTGGGCACCGTGGCTCATGCCTGTAATCCTAGTTACTCAGGAGGCAGAGATCTGGAGGCTCCTGGTTCAAAGCCAGCCCAAGCAAATAGTTCACAAGATCTTATCTTGAAAAAAGCTATCACAAAAAAAAGGGCTGGCAGAGTGGCTCAAGTGGCAGAGCAACTGCTTAGCAAGCATGAGGCCCTGAATTCAAACCCCAGTACCACAAAAAAAAAGGGCAAATTATTGTTAAAATGTGTGAAAGATATATATAGAGTCCATTATACTGTTCTCTCTACTTTTGTATAAACTTGGAAACTCCCTAAATATAATGAGTAACAATGTGTGTATTTTGTTTAGATTCTGATCCAAATAAACCAAGTATAAAAACACAATTTTGAGACAACTGGAGAACATACATTAGATTTTAGATTGTATTAAGGAATTAGTAATTATGTTGGATATCATTGTAGTATTTTAATTATTTTTGAGGCCTTATGTAGTAAAGTTGTAGACTGAAGTATTTACGAGAGAAATAAAAATATTCAGAGAAAATCCCTAGGATCTCCTTAAAAGTACTCCAGGAAGCTGGGCATGGTGGTGCACACCTGTAATCCCAGCTACTTCATAGGAGGAGGCAGGAAGACTGAGAGTTCAAGGATAGTCCAGGCAAAGTTACTGAGACCCTATCTCAAAAACAAAATACAAACAAAAGGGCTTAGCTCAGGTTGTAGTGCACCTTGCCTAGCAAGCAAGAAACCCTGGGTTCAATCCCCAGAAGCACCAAAGAGGAAAAGTATTCCAGGAAAAATATGCAAGCAAAAGTGTGAAGGAATGTAATAAAAAAAATTGAGAAGTTGATAATTATTGAATACAATAAGTAATTAATTAGTTTAAAAATATAGTATAAATTCTGCTATAAATGTTTGAAAAGTTCCACTATAAAAAATTTTTTAAGAATCATCCCTAAGCTAAGTGTGGTGGTACATACATGTAATCTCAGCACTTGGAAGGCCGAAGAAGGAGAATCTAGAGTTTGAGAACAGCCTGGGCTACACAGTGAGACACTGTCTCAAAAATGATCTCTAGGCTTAAGAAAATATTAAATATACCAAATTGCAAATTCCCTTTATTTTCTGAAGTTAAAAGTCCTGTGAATGAATAAAAACTCACATGTACAAAAATATAATATTTATAAGTTTATCTTAAGATATATATACTTTTTCTCAAGAAGAAAAAGAATGACATGATTTTGACAAAATAGAAATGAACAAACTTAAGACAGGTTCAAGAATCCTGAGAATGAAGTAAGTAGTCATTAAAAGATTGCAAAATTGGGTGGGAACATAGTAGGCATTCAATAAATGTTTCTGAGTGAATGAAACTCTATAAATGATCTTATTTGCTCTTAAATTATTTAGCAATGTTCAAAGTCTAAATTTCTACAAATGCTATATTCAGTGAATTTAAAATCCTCTAATTTTGATAACAGGTTTGAAGATTAAACTTTGGCCTAATGCTATCTTCATCATAATAAAATCATTATTTAATAACAAAGAAAAGATGACAGATACAACTTAATCCAACCTGCTCATTGTACATATATATCAAAATAATGAGGGCCAGAATAACAAAGAGTATATCTCTGCTTATATTCAAAATATTTACTCACTTCATAAGACCCGAATTCTTCTTACTAAATGGTCCAATGATTTTAAACATCAATTCCACAACTCCATTTTTCCCTAAAGATACTGAATTCACAGCTGAGAAGTGGAGAAAAAGATGCAAAATGATTTGAAAACTTCAACAACTATTGTGTACACTCAGTATAAGTGTTTAGTAAATATGAACTCAAATCACTAAGTCCCCCTAAGTGCACCTTAGCTAATCACTTGAAGGATTTGTTTTTATGGGAAGTTGTAAAGGAATCCTGAAACTAGTTATACACCCAAAAAAATGTTACTATAAAAGAAATGCTTCAGTTGCTCCATTTGTTTCTCTAATGAATTTAGTCAAAGTGAAGATTAAGAAATAAGAATAAACAGTCTCTGCCCTCAGAAACCATAGTGTAGAATGACAAAAACAATAAACAATTACAAAACAATAAACAAATAGCTGCTAAACTACTTCCTAACTAGATTAAGAGTTCTAAGTTATTTATTTGGGTTATACCACTGAGAGGTTCCTAACTCAGTGTGAGACAGAGACATTTCTGGAAAAAAAAATAATGCCTGGGCACAGCTTTAAAGCAGTTAGCTAGACAGGAATTTGAGTTAAGGACTAGAGGATTTTGGAATGTCTCTGGAAATGGGTAGTATAGACAGTGAACATCATGAGTCTGGATCAGTTAATGTTATTAAAACATATAGAACCAGACAAAGACATACAGATGGGTAAATAAGGTGGGAAAAGAAGGTAAGAAAATTTATGAAGAACTCTAGCAGTTGTTCATTCTTTCAGCTATAGAGAATTGCCCAAAAGAAACAACAAATCAGATCTGCATTTTAAATGAACAAGTCAGAAACAAGTCACTCTCGAGAAAATGGATTTGAGAGACACATGGGCAGACTGTAGTCTAGTTGAGATATAATGAGGACCTTAATTGAAGCAACTATAGGAGGGAAGAAGAGGGGCAGATTTTGGTATTTCACACACATCATAAAAACAATTGCCTAATGAGAAAACTATGCCCAATATTGTCAATTTTAAACAAATACTATTTTAAAAAATTATAAATGATTTGCTAGTCTTCTAATGTAGCTCCTAATGTATTGTGGGATAATCTTAATTTCCTCTACTCATTATTCTATTATCCCTTTTACTTTTTCCTCCTTCATTAATTGGGGCATTTGATGGTTCATCTGTTTTACTTTTCATCCAATTAAGTTTTAATTTTTTGATCGATTTTCCCTGCTTTTAACATGCCTTCCTTTTATTTTCCCTTGTGTTTATTTCTCTTTTCTCAACTTCTAATTCATTCCCTTCCTTACATTCTTTTAAATTATTAAATTTTTAATTATTTAACTAATGAACACCTGTATAATTACCTATTTTTCTCTGAGCACACCTTTAGCCAAATTATCAAAGTCCAGATTTATACATCCCCACACATCTATCTATCTCTGTATTATTATTTTGTAATGATATACTGCAATAACATATATCTTATAATTTCAATTTCAGGTTCTTTCATTAACCATTTCAATTTCATAGAGAATTAAAGGAAATGTATACCTCATGGGTTTGGGAATTAACAATACTAAGTGACAGTGTGTTTGGGAAGGTATTTAATTGGAGTCCATCTCTCTGTAATGCCTCTTCTCTATAGCTTCCTCAGAAACTCCTGTACTATTCCTTTTCTGTTCTGCTTCATCCCTATCAATTGCTGAGAAAATCAGACCCAGGTGACTATACTACTGCATGTTTTCTTTATCCACTTTCCTCTCATCTGTGAAAATCCAAAGAGGCATTTGAGTTTTCCAGCTGCCAATACCCTTTTATTAATCTACAACTTTCCACAGGCTGCCTACTTTTCACCCCTTCGTTCCAGTCCTTTATAAACTCAAGGAATTAGTGAAAATTCTCAAGATTTTGTCAACTCAACGTCTTACCCCACATCATTTTTGCTGCCTTGGCTATAAAAATAATTTTAAAACATATTAAATTTTCTCTTCCCTTTTCCACAAACTTCAGAGGCTTAGTGTTAAGGTAGTTTAACATTTTCATTTTGTATAACTTCACAACACTGAGTTAAAGAAAAGCCACTCTGAAATACTCACAATTGGCAGAATATACTCGTAAAAGCTGAAGACAGGGTAGAACCAAGCGTTGGTTCTGCAAATGCTGTTTGACCAAATTCAGGGTTAAATTCAGAGCCCCATTAATTCTAGCTTTCACTCCAAATTTTTTATCTGTGAAAAAAAAGTATTCATATGAAACTTTTGAATGAAATGAAATCATAAAGCAATAACATTTTAAAACATATCAATTCATATCATCAAATATAAAATTAACCTAAATTAAAATTATAATCATTTTTTGTATGGTTTTTAATACTCCTTATACTTTTGAAGCATTAATTGCAAGAATGTATTTATGGGGCAAGCAGGGGAATATGGCAGAAGGATAGAGGTTGGAAAAGCCCAAATAGGGTGTCATGAATGGTGGAATTTAACTGAACCACTACGTGAGTAAGTCTGCCTACCTCAACACTTCCCAGGAATACCATCACACAGTTAAAGGGAACAATAAAGAGTCTAAATGGCTATTGCCAATATTACCTACTGACAATCAAAAACATTCTTTTCAGACTTATAAAGAATGTAAATTAATGAAGAAATGAACAGCTTATATAGAAAATGTAGCAAATACTGCCAAATTTCTAATAGGATAAAATTCTTAACAGAAAAGGAAGAAAAGAAGAGAAAGAAAGTTCTTTTTTAATTATTTTATTTGTACAAATTTAGGTTGTAGGTGTGATAATTCAATACATGCATCAAATCAGGGTAGTCAAAATTTCCACTTCCTTAAATATTTAAAATGTTTGATTAACACATATTTATTATACATATTTGTGAAGTAGAAGGTCTGTGACAATACATGCATGCAACATGTATAATCCAGGGTAATTCTCATTTCCATCTCCTTGTCATTACTTTGTGTTTGAAGAGAAAAGTTCTTGATTTTTATTCTCACAAAGAAATTAAAGCAGTACTTCGGTGCCGGCTGCTCACATCTGTAATCCTAGCTACTTGGGAGGGTAAGATCCAGAGTAGAGTAGTTTGAGGCCAGCCTAGGCAAACAGTTTGCAAGACTCCATCTCCAAAATAACCATAGCAAAATGGACTGGTGGTGTGGCTCAAGCAGTAGAGTACCTGCTTTGCAAGCACAAAGCCCTGAGTTCAAGCCCCAGTCCCACAAATAAAAGAAGCAGAGATTAAAACAGTAAAAAACAAAAATATTTAAATACTAAGAACTTAGAAATACTAAGATTTAAACAAAGAAAATAAATAAGATCAGCAAACAGAGGTATGCCATAACTAAGAGGAATTTTAAGTAAAAACAAAATTTAAAAATTAAGTATTTTTTCCTTAGGAAAACTGGAAGGAAGGGAGGGGGGAGGAAGGGAGTAGGAAGGGAGAGAAGGAGGAAGGGTGGGAAGAATGGTAAACAGAAAGAAAATGGTTCAAGAAGTCAGGCATGGTGGTGCATGCCTAAAAATGGAAAATTCGTCCAAATAGTAAAGAAAATAGAAATTTAAAATATGAAGGGATATTAAAGAAATACAGATATACATTAAACACATAAGTAACCTTAATTTAATTTCATGAAAAGCAGAAGAAAGATTACAGGGTTCTAGTCAGAGGAGGAAGCAAGTGATAACAATATTCATCAATAAATAAGGTTTTATTTTCTTTTACATTTTTATTTTCTACAATACTCTCAAAAGGGAGTCCTTAATCTCAAGTACAAGATTTAAAAGAAAAATAATACACAGGTAACATATTTCTTAAATAAACTGAATAAATATTTAAGTCTTAAGGTCCCTAATATACCTGGAAAAGTAAAGTCATCTCAGGGTTGCATTCTTTAAAACACCACCTGTTAAAAGCACTAGTTAAACATTTGCATAATACATAAAGGTATGCATGAAATAAATATAAATACATACTACATACACATACATATTCACATTTTTGAACAAGTATTTTAGTCAGACATTTCAAAATTTAAGACCCATGTATATGCTAAAAAACAATGGCAAAACTCCTAAAAACACAATCCCAAGAGTTTAGGTAGTCATTTTAATCTTTGTACAGGTAGGAAACTATAAAATAAATTTAGGTTCTATCCAAAGAATGCTGTTCTCTGTTAACCTAATCTAAATCAGCTTCCTCTTTTGTTCTGTATTCCAGTCTTCTTAATTTATATTGTTCAATAATTTACATGTCCTTCTATTGTAATAATCAGTCTCATAATTTTCACATCTACTTTGGTCTTCATGACTAGATTGTAAGTTTTCGAAGCACTGAGACTGTTCAGTACAAATATGACTACTAACGAAAAGCAGCAGCATATTTTACATCTACTATATGCCTCAAAACACTCCCAACCATACTCCCTCCTAGCCTCAACAATGTACATATTCTGCATATCCTTTACATACATACCTAAGCAGCCACACAAACCTACTGTGATTCTGACATACTTGTCTTTCTTTTTCGACCACATGCAATAGAATTCCTCATGAATTTTGGACCCTTATCTCTTGCAGGTTAGTAGTTACTAGTAAAAAGCTACTAAAACCCAAGCTACTAAAATGAAGAAAAAAAATCAGCATTTAGATTTTAAAAATTAAGCAGTTTCAAGGCAGAATCAATGTTACAAAAATGGTTCTAGATTTGATAATCATACAAGTGAAACTCCTACCTTTTGGTCCAATCTTCGCAAGAATAGAATGGATCTGTACCATTAATTCCTCATGTGGGGGAGATTCTTTGCTGGTATTCACAAGTAGTTGTAACAATATTTGTGAACCACCTTTGGAAACTAAGAAACTTGCTCTTCGACCTCCACCTAAAAAAAAAATAGTCTTTAAATTTTGAACAGTAAATCCTCACACAGTAGATATCACAACTTGTTAGCATTCAAGAATTATTTAAAGTGATCATTTCTAAAGTCAAACAAAGTCATATTTACTTTTATCTGATTTTTCTATTTAGAAAATAGCAAAGAATAAACACAACGATGCCAAAATTCTAGATTTCAGGCTCTGAAATGTATGGTTGATGGGGTAATTTGAGGGATACTTGCATATACCAAAAACAAAGCCAGAACAAGAGTATGTAATTTCAGTTTCCAAATTCTAATACTCAGAAGAGCATCTGTATATGTATCAGAAAATTCCAAGTAAACATGGTACCTTGCTGGTTGCTCTTTACAAAAAAAATCTGACCAAAGGAAAACAAAAACTTACCAGCTGACACCAGCTCAACAAGAATGCATAAGATATTAAGTGTAGTTTGAAGATCTTTCGTGTTCTGAAATAAACAGTTGATTTACTTTATTAAAACACTGTAAATTTGTGATTCCTAAACTTTTTGTACATGTTGGGAACAACCTATATTTTACAAATGGCCTTTCCAGTTTTTCTAGGACAAATACATTCAGATTTCCACTATTCTCTTATTATTTCGGTATCTTCTTCTTTGCTTATAACAATGTTTATAAACATTCTTAGTATCAACATTATTACAAGAGGAATTAATCTGTATTTGAGTTCTTCCTCTTTCTACCAAATAGATAATAAAAGTAAATGAATCAAACTGTAAAAAAGTACTATAAGCCAGTCATGGTGATGAATTCCTGTTCTTCACACTAGCTACTCAGGAGGCTGAGGTGGGAGGATCATTTGATTATATCACATAATATAATGTACCCTGTCTCCAAAAAGAAAAAAAGCACTATGATGTATATATGTACATGATGACTACTCAGTCATCTAGCTCCCATCTCAGAAGGCAATCACAGTATCAGTTTCTTATGTATCCTGACAAAAATTACATTCACACATAAAAGAAATCTATGGAAATATGTACGTATATATATACATATGTGTGTACATACAGATTTATTTCCCCAAAAGGTATTTCCAAATAGTATAATTTGGCACCTTTTGCCATTTTACATATCAATAAATAAAGAGCTTCTTCATTCACGGGTTTGGTATTTGTTTAATTTTTTGTGATACTGGTGTACTTAGGTTGCTTTTAGTATTTTGCTATTATGAAATTGTAACAAAAAACCAAGTACATAAACTTATATGTGATAAAAACATTTGTGTGTATAAAATAAATTCCTGGAATTTTTAAGCCCAAGAATAAAGGCATTTTTCTGACAGATGTTGCCAACTTGCTCTTCTTGGAATAACTGACACTCCCATTGGCATTATAGAGAAGTAACAATTCTCAGATGTCTGGATAACCAATCTAAAGAGTGCACATTTTTTGGCTGACAAATTTGTAGAAATTCTTTGTATATCAAAGGAATTATATGAGTTTTATGAGTTGTGGTGAAATAGTTTTTCCTCAGTTTTCCATGTTTTGTATAATATTGTTAATATAATTTAGCAACTTTTTCTTTTATTGCTCCATAACTTTTTATACTTAGAAAAACCTTGTTACGAGAATATTTAAATTTTTCTTGCCTTGTTTCCCCTAGTATTATGATTTCATTTTCCACAATTATACCTTGCTTCACTAATTTTGGTATATGATATAGGAAGTAAGAATTCCACATTATGCCTTCAGTTGGCTATCAATTTGTCTGAGCTCCACTTATTAAGTAACTCCTCTATTTCTCACTAATCTAAAATGCCACCTTTATCAAACAGTACTATATTTCCATAAGCATTTCAATTTTTTTGGATTTTCTATTTATTATACTGGTATCTACCTAGTACTTGTGCACAACTTCTAAACTATTTAAATTACTGAAGCTTTATAAGGTTCTTTTATAATTGGTAGGGATAATTCTATCCCATTTATCTTATTTTTTAGGACTGTCCTACAGTTTTATTTCTGCTATCTCCCCCACACACTTTGGACTTCAAAACAAAACTGTTAGTATTTTTATTGAGATTATTTATTGAGATTGGTCTACACTGGCAGATTAATTGAGGGAGAAATGGCAACTTGATCATGTTAAGGCTACGAGGAACATGAATTCATTCTCTGTTCTTAACACTGCACTGAATACAAAATATAGAATCCTGATTGTGAAAACATCCTGTTAGCTAACTCAAAACTTTTACGTTGGCATAGAAATTCAACTATCATCAGTATACTACAGCTAATCAATAAATACAGTAAAATAAATCATGAGTGTACATTATGTTTTATATATACATTATCATATATATTATATTGTCAATTTGCTCTCCTTGGAAAAACTGACACTCCCCATTGGCAATGTAAAGGAGTAACAATTCCCAGATGTCTGGATAACTAATCTAAAGAGTGCCAACATAATACAACTGATCAAATTTTTCTTGCTGATCATTTATTTTAAGTTAAAGACTTATTTCAAGATATTTTATTTTCTACAACCAATCAGAATGGCATATTATGATTAAACTTTACAATTATTATCATCATTGGGAAATATATTTAGATGTTTATATAATACATATTAGAATATTTATGCCAGTTCCAATAATTTAAAACATAGAACAAGCTTTCATTCATTGGTTTTATCTCTAAGAAAAAACTGCATACTTTCTGTGTCTGTGTTTCCTTCAGTATTGCTTCCTATTAGTAGTTGCATAATTAAGTGCTGCTAGTGATTTACCTCTAATGTTGACAGCAGAACTTCCATGCCAGTAGAACCTTTTGCTGTCATTTCTCTCCTTGTTTTTTCTGAAACATAGAAAACAATATTTTTAAACACTGAACCAAAAAATTACATAAAATGCTGTTAAATATAGCTAATGTTAAATCAATGAGTCTCCATTCATCCAGTAAACATTTTTAATTGGTTCCTAGATGTTCCTCTCTCTGATGTGGCTAATTCTACTCTGTGGATCTAATTCAGATTTCAGTTAACAAGACCTTCCTTGCATTTCTTCTCATTTCCTAACATGGACTAGGAGACAGACCCTGTTAGTCCATTAAAAAATCTTAAAATCAATGAAAGAGAGCAGCAGAGGGGGTGAATTCAAGTATGATATATTTGATACACTGTAAGAACTTCTGCAAATACTCCAGTGTACTCCCACCCAACACAACAATAATAGAAAAATAAAATAAATTTTAAAATCTTAAAATCAATATTAGTACGTGTACCAAGAACTAGGAGGTGGGAGGAGTTGTAATGGTAAGCTTCTTTATCTTTATGAATACAACTAGAAAATAGTTCATCAAGATAAGTGAAAGCAAAAACCTAGTACCATTTTTAAATGTTTTGAATGTATTTAACACTATCAAAATTCTGAACCACACAAAAATGAACAAAGCTAAGGAAGAACTACCTCTGTAAGAATCTGGAGACAAGATCACCCAAATTATCCTCCCATCACAGGAATGGAAAAAAAATGTGTAAATATTTCTCTTACTTAAAAGGTCTTAGATCTGCTCATAATTATTCTCTGACTCAGAAGAGAAAAAGTAGATAATAGGATAGCATTCAGAAAATGAGCATTTATTATTCCACGAACTTTGCCTTGTTTTAACTCATTTCATGAATCAAGAATTTAAGTTAAGAAAGGATGAAGAATCTATGCCAAGTCATTAAGTGAATATATGGAATAGACCAGGAGAGCCAGGCATTTCAGAATCTAAAGCTTATGGTCATTCACTAATTTAAAACACTTCTCAAAGAGTAATAGGAATTATTCTTTAAACAGAATTATTATGTAAGAGACTTGGTGCCCCTCTCCAATTTTTCACACCTTAATAGTAATGCCAGAAATTCTTTTAATACACTACAACTATGTCATTCATTTCACATTTTGAGATTCAAAAAACAGAAAGTAAACAATCCACTTTCCAAATACTACATACTCTACAACAAAGTTTAAAGGGCTGTAGTACCAAATCAATGCTCCATATAGAGACAGTCAATGGAGCTTAAAAGGAGAACAAGCACTAAAGCCCATATGCGAGTAAAAGATCAACAAAGATGGGGAAAAAACTCAGGCTAAGGCTTTAAAACATCAAGCCTTTTCCCAGAGCAATCCTGTCCAAGTTTGTAAGGGTGACATCCACTTGAAAATTGAGTTTCTCTAACTTAGAAGTTACTAAAAACAGGGACAAATATAATATAGTATATAATGTTATTTCTGACAACTATTAATAAAACAAATATGCTAGAAATCAGATATCTTATTTATCTTTAAAACAATATTATCATGCTATTATGCATCACCTCAGGTCCAATTAATGAAATTTATTAAACTTACAGAAACCTTACATCTTTCAAAACAGAAACTTCCATAAGTGATATGAGGATCTATAGCTTGGTACAGTGGCTCATGCCTGTAATCCCAGCACTGAAGAGGCTGAGGCAGCTTGGGCTACAAAGTAAGTTTGAAGCCACCCTGGACTACACAGTGAGACTCTGTCTCAAAAAAAAAAAAATCTATAAAACTGCCCATCTCTACTCCCTGCTGTAATACTACTAACACATAAAAGAATGACAAATTTATTTACCTGTAAAAGAAAGTTCACTCATGTTAGTAAATTAAATTTCTTTTTTTTAAAAGCATGTGATTCCTCTGACAACCCAACCCCGCCTCCACCAAAAAAGAATACAAATAAAGTATTTTTTCAACGATCCAGTATCTCCTTGGTGTGTTATTTTTAAAGTAAGTCCTGTGATTTAGTAAAGTCAATCATTTAAAAATATTAATATTGCATATGATATTTAGAAGACAGAGAAGTAAATTACTAATAAGCTATTATGTTTTCACCTTCATGGGGTGGGAGATTCTCTCTTCCTTTGAAGACAGTTCAATGCAGCCTCTAACACCATTGGCATTAATATCCACCATCATCTTGCTTATATTTCACACAAATGAACACTAAGTTTTCTACCCTCCTCCAGATTCTGCCATGATCTTGGGAGATTTCAGGGTTAATATGGATAACTCATTCAACACCTAGTTCTCCAGTTTATTGACCTCATAACAAAAAGTCCATCCCTATGGTGCTCCAATTTATCAACCCTCTCAATGGCCATTCTCAGGACTTCCACTCTGATATATTATCTCCTAAGTTCTCACTTTTAGACCATAACCTTTTAACATTCCTAATCTTCTTTCCTATTTAAATAGGAATTTAAATTCCTATTTAAATTTCCTTTAAATTTGGTCACCTTCCTTCAAATTTCTAATTCATTGACATGGCACCTTCTTCCTACAATAACAGCACTCTCCGTACCCAGCTTGGACTCCCAAGTGCCCCTTTCTCCAACTTTCCTATCATAAATCCTATGCAGAAACGAACTATAAAATGTACATTTTCTACCACACAGAGTAAAAATAATGCCATAAGAATTTTTTTCTAACTTCTGTACAATGTATAAGATGTGTAAGAAATAATTCTAATACCACATTACTGGATTTCTAACATGTATAGACATAAAATACACATCAATAACAGTATAACAAAATGAGAAGGAAATAGAGCTACACTAGAAGAAAGGTCTACCTGAGTTAAGTAGACGATAGTACACTATAATAGGATGCATATCTGAATCCCTACAGGAATCACAGAAAAGAACTAAAACTACCAAAAGTTTAAAAAAAAAATCAATATAAAACAAGGCAGAAAAGGATGGGAAGAGGACTGTAAAAGACAGTAAATATTTAGAAACCAAACAGTTGGGCTGGCGATGTGACACAATTGGTAGACCACTTTGCCTAGCAAGTATAAGGGCCTGAGTTTAAACTCCAGTACAATCAAAAAAAGAAAACAAATAGCAAAATGGCAGATGCAAACTCTATTCTATCAATATATACATTAAATTGAAAGTACTGAACACTCAAGCTACACTTTTAAAATGTAAGACTAACTATGAGCTATCTTCAAGATACACACACTTTAGATTCTAAAATACAAATTTAACGTAAAATGCATGGATAAAAGTATAACACGGAAATAGTAATTATAAACAGCTAGAGTGTCTATATTATTTCTAGAAAAAAACAGACTTTAACAAAAAGGAACATTACATAATGAGTCAAACTATCAGGAAGATAAAACAACTACAAGTGTACACATACCTAACAGATCCTAAAAATGAATGATCCAAACCTGCCAAAACTAGAAAAATACAAATACAGTTCAACAATAATAGATGGGAGATTTCAATACCCAATCCCCAGTAACTGACAGAGCACCTAGACTGAAAATCAACAGGTACAAAAGATTTGAACACTTACCAACCAACCTCACCTAACTGACCTTTTTTTTGTGTGGCACTGGGATTTGAACTCAGGGCTTCATACTTGCTAGGCAGGCACTCTTACCGCTTGAGACATTCTGCCAGACCATTTTTTGTGATGGATTTTTTCAAGATTAGGTCTCGAGAACTATTTGCCCGGGAATGGCTTCAAACCGTGATCCTCCTGATCTCCACCTCCTGAGTAGCTAGGATTACAAGCCTGAGCCACTGGCATCTGGACTAGTCGACATTTACAGAACACTCCACCCAACAACAGCAGAATATGCAGTCTTTTCAAGGGCACATGAACATTCTTCTGGAGAAACTATATACGGAGTCATAAAATAAGTCAAAAAATCTGAAAGGTTTGCAATCACACAAAATATATTCTCCAGCCACAATGGAATTAACTTACAGATCAACAGAAAAAAATTTGAGAAATCCTGAAATACTGGAAAATTAAACTTCTAAGTAACCCAAGGGTCAAAGAAGAAATCGCAAAGGAAATCAGAACATATTGTGAACTGAATAAAAACAAAATAACATATCAAAATTTATAGAACTCAGTTAAAGCAGTCTTCATGGAGAAAACTGTAACTTTAAATACCTAGAAAATCAATAATATAAGCTTCCACCATTAAGAAAATGGAAAAACAAGCACAAATTAAGCTCAAAGTAAGAAGATGGAAGGAAATCAATGAAACAGACAGAAATTTCAATGGAACCAGAAGTTGGTTCTTTCAAAAGATCAACAAAATTGACAAACATTTATCTATATCAGGGCTTCTCAACCTTAGCACTGCTGACATTTTGGGCCAAGTAATTCTTTCTTGTAGAGGACTGTCCAATACATTATAGAATGCTTAGCAGTACTCCTGGTCTCCCACCAATAGATCACAGTAATAAACCCCTGACAAAAAACTTCTTTTTTACAAATAAAAATGTCTCCAAACATTGTTCCTGGAGGAAGAAGCTTAGCAGAATCATCCCTGGTTGGAAGTATTGAACTAGACAGACTAAAGTAAAGGAGAAAGGACACAAATGAACAAAATCAGGAATGAAAAGAGAGAATACAGCTGGGTACAAGTAGCTCACACCTGTAATCCTAACTACTCAGGAGGGAGAGATCAGGAGGATCTCTGGTTCAAAGTCAGTCTGGCAAATAGTTCAAAAGACCTTATCTCAAAAACACCCAACACAGGGCTGGGATATAGCTCGGTGGTACAGCGCTTGCCTAGCATGCGTGAGGCCCTGGGTTCGATCCCAGCACCAAAAAAGAAAAGACAAAAAAAAAAACACCCAACACAAAAAAGAGCTGGTGGAGTGGCTCAAGTGATAGAGAACCTGCCTAGCTTAGAGACTTTGAGTTCAAAACCCAGTACCACCAAAAAAAAAGAAAAAAAAGAGAGACATTACTTCTTATTCTGTAGCAACTGTATGCCAATAAATTAGAACATTTGCATGAAACGGATAATTAACACAAATATTTCTAGGGAAAAAAAATATGAGTAAATCAGTGGCTATGTGAACCATGCAGGAGCCCAGCCACCAGCACCTAAGTTGCTGCAGTAAGGGGAAGCATCCGCATCAAGATGAACTCATCATCCCGGAACGCTACTCACAGGCCAGTGAGTGGGCAGTCAAATACATGAGGCACCTCACCACCCAGTTTAACCCAGAGCCAGACAAGTACTTCACTCTGGGACTCCTCACTAGGAGTACCCGCTTGGCTGCTATAAGAAGCTGATTGAGTACTGTAAGAATGGAGATCCTTTAAATACATGAAAACCTTCAACATGGACCAGTATATGGGTACTCAAGAGTATCCAGAGAGCTACCACTTCTTCATGTGGAACAACTTCTTCAAGCACATTAACCCAGAAAACACCCAGGCTGGGTGTGATGCCTTTGAGAAGACTGAGGCTGCAGGTTGGATCAAGCCGTTTGTTGGAGACCTTGGTACACTGCCTTCAATGAGCCAGGCTCCAGTCTGGTATTTACAACCTGGATGAACACATTGGCCATGGACATCATCCCAGCCAATGCTAGGTTCTTCGATGGTGTTCTTACCAAGGTGCCCACCATGGCCCCAACAGTGGGAGTGGGCACTGTCATGGATGACAGAAAGGTGATGATCCTCATCACAGATGCTCACAAGGCATTTTCTCTGTATAAGGCCATGGAGGAGAGAGTGAACGATATGTGGTCCATGTCTGCCTTCCAGCAACATTCCCACTCCATGTTGTATGTGGTGAGGATGCCACCTTGTAGCTAAAAGAAAAGACTATCAAGTATTTCAAAGGTTTAATGCTTGTTCATAATTTGGTGGCCCCCAGTACAGTATCAAGGAGAAAGAAATTGATAAAAGCCAGTCTTCTAGGAAACTGTATGGTGATTAGCTTGTACTGGGACCCAGTATCAACTACCACGAAGGGACAGGTGGGTCTTTCTGGAAATTGTCATTAGACTGGAATTGTTTTTCTTTAATCCAGTATGGTTACTGCAGATAAGTGAGTGACCTTACTGTTCTTGGCTATGGGAATAGGAGCCTAATCAGGAAGTTTAGCTATGGGAGAATGACTTGTTTGTAATATAATCAGAAAAAAATCTCTGAAAAATACTCCATCATTTTGATGTCTACCACACCCAAGTTGGGACCTTTTAGCTTCTCTTCTGCCTCAGCCACTGTTCACATGTACAATACACTCCCAAACAAGAATTTCTGTTCTTATGGGCACTTATCTCAGGTGGGTAAGAATTAAGAGTTTTTGCACAACCTCCTTGAAGAGTCGTGAGAGCTCTTTTTGAGCAGACTTTCTGTCCCTTATTTTAGAGAATCATTGTTCCAGACTTAGGAACACACTTTTTACATATCTAAATTATGTACAAGAGAGCAGTCCCTCTGGTCAGCACCAAGTACCCAGGAAAGAAAATTGTCCCTTACTCTCTTTCCCATGGTTTTTTGTTTGTTTGTTTATTTTCCCTGATCTTACAGCTGGCCCTTCTGTGAACTGGAAGACTGCCTGAGAATCTGGGTGGGGTTAAAAAGATGGCTTTTGCTGATAAACCCACAGCCTCCAGAGACCTAGTCAACAAACAGCTCTCTCCCTCAAGGACCCAAATGGAGAAAGGCAGAAACACTTCCCCCTACTGGCAGAGCCTTGTGTTTTTGTCAAAAGTCTCTTACAGAGTCATCAGTAAGGAGGAGATCCACTGGGACAACAGACATGGCTACAATTTCAGTGCTGTTTTCAGCCAGGGTAATGGGTTGGTAAGCAGTCACCATACAAAAGTCCTGTGCTCTCCTGCCTCCTTCAGAGTCGAATGCCAAGACCACACACTACATGCTTTTAGTATTTTCCCCCACTTAAAATCCCTGTTCCTCGACCCTCTCAGGTTCATGTGGTATAGTCTGATGTTCTCAGAATGTCAAGAAATACAACCCTATGCTCCTTTATCCTTCAGCCCTTGTTCCTGAGATGGTCTGTCTGGTCTACCTTCCTTTTCTGCTCTTAAGACTTTGTATAATGGTTTCTGCCTTCTCCTTCCTGTTTTGTGTCTGTTTAAAGCTACTGCTGCCTATTCTGGGAAAGAGTTTTCAAAGCCTGGCTCAGGCCTCTCTTTAAGTGCTGTGCTTGGTACCAGCATTTCATCTTTAGCTTTTATATGACTGTGCGCCATTCTGTGTTAAGCTAATGAATCAATGACTTGTTTACTATGTGAAATATTAAGTCAAATATTTCAAATTAAAAAAAAGAGTAAATCACAGGCAGTACCATGAACATGCATGGTAGAGCTAGAATTTCAAGGTGGGGACAACACTAATACGCAACATTCTATGCTACTTGGCATCTTTTGTCAACATTTTGCAAGTAGTGCTGGAATTGGGTGCTTTTTGAAAATGGAGCAGGGGTGGCAATCATACATATAAGTAATATTGTAATCATTACTAGAAATAATGCTGTGATAGTGAACTTGTCAAATGATTGGATTGAGACATGCCTAGGAATTAGTAAAGCATATCTCTGGGTGTATCTGTAAGGACATTTCTAGAGATGATTAGTTATAGCATGTTAGGAAGAATTATGACCTTGTTATTGTCTTTATTTGAAGATTAAGTACAACATAATGAGACATGTTTGTGTGTCAAACTGATGAAGAGTGGGCTTCTGATAGTGAATCCTGATTGCCAACTTGAATAGATTGAGAGATGCCTAGGAGATTAGTAAAGCACACCTCTGTGTATGTCTACAAGGACATGTCTAGGAACAATTAGCTAAAAGGATGAAGATCCACCCTGAGTGTGGGAAGCACCCTACATGATTCATCTGAGGTCCAGATGAAATAAAAGTAGAAGGAAACCCACTAGTGCAGGCATACTTTCTCTTAATCCCTCTGCTTCTGGCTGCCTTGAGGTAAGCAACTCTGCTCCTCCACGTTCTCCCACACGATGTTCTGTCTCACCATGGCCCTGAAATAATGGAACTGGCCAACCATGAACTGAAACCTCTGAAACCGTGAGCAAAAACTAAATCTTTCCCCCTTTAAACTATTTCTTCAGGTATTTGCTCACAGTAACAAAAAGTCTAACACAAAAATGCTGAAAATCAATTTCCTCCAAAGTTCTTCAGTTTTATATTCCTTGAGGAAATTTGAGAAAGCTCAATTTTTAGAGAAAATCATTCATTTATCAAAACTTCAGACATCTGTAGCATCTGTACACTTACAGAATTTTTATAAAAGCATTCCCGGCTGGACATAGTGACTCAAGCCTGTAATCTTAGCTACTTGAGAGGTGGAGGTCAGAAGAATTAAAGTTCAAGGTCAGACCATCAGACCAGACAAAAAGTTTAGAATACCCCATCTCAACCAATGGCTGCACATGGTGGTGCATGACTGTCATCCCAGGTACATAAGGAAACACAATAGGAAGATCCAGGCAGGCCCAGGCATAAAGCAAGACCCTACCTCAGAAATAATCAGTGTAAAAAAGGGCTGGCCGAGTGGCTCAAGTGGTAGAGTGCCTGAATATCAAGTGCAAGTATACTCAAAAATAAATAAAAAAAAAAAAAAAAAGTATTCCAAAAACAGAGATTAAAGCTTACCTTGACTTTGAGCCAAATGAAGAATTTTTGAAGTAACATATCTGGCATTATCTGATTCTGCAGATTCAGTATTGATCTTCTCTAGCTGAGCCAGTAGTCCCACAATCCGAGAATTATTGGTAAGGCTAAAAAGAACATCACTTTACATTAAGACGTATTCTGCTCAATTGAAAATTGAACACTATAAAGATAGTTGTTTTAAAAAGAAACTACTCTTCTAAAAACATTAAACATTTACACTTGCCACAGTTCCTTGCTGTGGTTTATTTCTTAATAGTATTAAAATTCTAATTCTAATTTGAGTGAGAAGCACACTGTATTTCAGAGAACCAAAAGTCACAAATGTGCATTCAACCCTGTCCAAAATTCTTACTCATTCTGAAAGGTCACCTTTCTACTCTTTAAGAAATAGTGCACTGTCTCCACTCTTCTCAAAAATCTTGAGCTGGTGGAATGTGTCAGGTGGTAGAGCACTTACCTTCCTAGCAAGTGTGAAGCCCTGAGTTCAAATCCAGGTACCACAAAAAATATTTTTGACAATCTCTTCCTCCTACCCTACTCCATTCTCATCCTTTCATAATTATTATAAAATCAAGTAAGAATATACTTGTCTTTCTACCACCAGATCCTTATATCTACCTGGTTCTCTAGCTATAATCTCTTTCCTGTTCCCATTTATTATGCAAACATTTATACAAATGGTCCAGGTTTAGGTGCTGCCAACATACTATAGAACAAAATTTTCTGCCCCTCATATAGCAAACATTCTAATGATAACTGTTAAGTTAGGAAGGTAAATATGTAAATTATACAATATGCTAAGTGGTAAGAAGTATTCTGAAGAAAAATCAAGCTAGAAGACTAAAAGGTATACTAGGAGGGGCACAATTTTAGACAAAGTGGTCCAGCAAGACCTCATTGAGAGGGTAACATTTAAGGATAGGCCTGAAGGAGTAACATAGGCATGAAGATACCAGTAGAAACAGAGAGTCACAACCACCAAAACTCCATGGCAGTAACATGCCTGCCCTATTCAAGTGTGGCTAGAGCAGACTTAAAGGAGAACAGCAGCAAAAGATTCAGTCAGAGTTGAGAATAGACACAGGAAAGAGCAAAAGAAGATGGCAAATCATTTAGATGCTTGTAGGTCACTGTAAGGACTGGCTTTTACAATGAGTGGGATAGAAAGTTTTTGAGTAGCAGAATGAGATGTTCTTATTATAAAAAAGCTCTCTTTAGCTAGCATATTGAGATTCAAAGAACAATCTCTCCACTTGTATGCTTGACACCAGCCTCTACTGTATTCTCAAAGTATATGTTCCTTCCATTATCTCTGATTTATCATCTAGCTCTCTCTTTCCATTGGCTCATACCCCCATCAGCACACAAATTTAGTCTAGGATATTCTGTCAGCTATCTCTCATTTTTCTGCTACTTCTGGAAAAAAGTATCTGAACTTTCTCTCCCAATTTCCTTACATATTGTTCATTTTTTCAACCACTAGTTTGCTTTCTCCCTCCTTAGCTCTCCCAAAAGCTTCCTGTGGTTACTTCTAGCCTCACCATATTCAGCACCTCAGCACCATCCAACCTAAGCTTCAATGACTCCATATCTCCTGATTTTTGTTCTAACACCACTTCCTTTGGATCTTCTCTGCTACATGATTAACAAATTGAATTCCCCGCTTCTACAGCTCTGCCCAACCCCATCCACCTCTCTTTACTCTCTTTATATCTTTCCTATCAATGGTCTCATCAAAATTCCTTAATTGTAATTATCATCCATATGCTACTTGGATCCTACATTCAATAGCTTCAACTTCTGACAGCTTACCCAACCTAGCAAGACCAGTATAAAACTTCTGTTTCAAATAAGATCAATAAGATCTTATCATAGCCCTGTTGTAATCTGGCCTATCTACTTCTCAGATTATTCCTGACAATATTCCCCTTTCTAACTAGGATGAAGCCCATCCTGGCCTTTTCTCAGTTCCTTGAATGCAACTTCCCATAACCTCCTCTTTATACTTGCTGTCCTCTCATCATGGAGGGTATTTCTTTCAGCTTTTCATATGGCTTCCCCTCCTCATTTCAGGCTCTTACCCAAATTACAGTGCTCACTTCCAGGAACCCCTCTACTTCCAACAGCAAAAATGTATTAACATAATTTATCACCATTCAAAATTCTACAAAGAATGCATTTAGACCTTGCACTTAGAACAGTCACTGATGAGCTGGGGAAATGGCTCAGGTGATAGCTTGTCTAGCAACCTTGAGGCCCAGGGTTCAATCCCTAGTACCACAAAAAATAAAAATAAATTTAATTTAAAAATGACAGTCATTGGCACAGAATAGGCAAGACGTGGCTCTGTTTCAGAATGAACAAAAGAGTCTGGGAACATATGGAAAACAACATATTTATTCTTTTTTCAAATTAGCAACTGGACCCAGTACTTTAAATTTGGAAGCTTTTCACATGAAAAGGTATATGGAGGTTAGAAATAAACACTGAGCATATCATTTGAAAATATAAATAATATACAATTTTAATTTATACAGTATTTTGTAATTTTTCATAGTTAGCATAGTCTAAAAATGAAATATCATTATGTATAAATCACTAAATTAAAAACCAAAAAGCCTAAAGAATAAGCATAGTGTATCATCAAAGTTTTAAAATAAGCAAATTCAATACAATATATTCTTGTGTACATGATACATAAATATATGATATATAAATGCACATTGCATATTACATTATATATGACATTTTATATATATACAAATGTTCTTATACATTATGCACGTGTGTGTATGTGTCTAAATATACACATATGTATATCTTATATACATACACACATGGGAATGATGAAGAAAGAAAAAATGTTGTTAGGCAACAATATGCACTGTACTTGTAATTTTTAATTTCTTGGATGACTAGAACACAGGTGCTCATGAGATCATGCTCTATTCTTTATGGCTTTCATAAGTATTTATAATTTTTTAAATAAAAAAGTCTATAGAAACAAAAATAAGTTTACAAGTTTAAGTTTTTACAAATTTTCTTTTTCCTCCAGTGTTGCAGAAGGAAGAAATGATGTCTTAAAGTCATTTATCATAAAAATATATAATATCACTACTAGAGCAAAAACAGTATGAAAATCTAATTTGCATTCAAAGTTCCCAAATTCTCCCTCTCATTTTATTGAATAGTTTATACATATCAGAAACCAAACTAACTCCACAACTGCTTTTGTCTTTTAATCTAGAAGTAGTCTATCACTTCTTATTGCAACTTATTTGTTAAAAACGCTTAATTACTTCATAGCTTCACTCATTGTGAATTTGTCATTGCACATCCTTGGTATGATTAATATGTTTCCCTATCTTCTATATTTTCTATAAACTGACAGCTGGATCTAAAGCTTAATCTAATTAAGGCCTTAATTATTAACAAGAATTATATATAAATGGAATTGCAGCCTCCCATACAGAGGAAAATAGTGTCTGGTTATCTTAATATAAGCACTAATCACCATTACCCACATCATCACCACACTCATGGAAATTCAGAAGTTTAAGAATTGAGAATTTTGCTTTCTCCAATTATTTTTCCTCTGAAAATGTCATTCATCTGTTATTACTTTTCTATCTAAAAAAAAATCTATTAAAAAAAACTCAACATAAAACAATTCAAAACATATTGAACATGACACATTTCATGAGTTTGCTCTGTCAGTAACACTGAAAAGTTACCATTAAATTACACCACTAAAAAAAAAACTTGAATCGTATGTGACAATCATGCATTTCCAAAGGATGGCTAAAAGGACAGGTAGGTGAATTTCTTAAAGGAAGGCAAAAATAGAAATAGAGAAAATACTTAAATCCATTTCTCTGTCTCTATTTTTCATCCACAGAGTGAAAACCGAATAAAATTATATTCTAAGCCACTCCCCAACTCAGCTCTAAAATTTCAAGACTGTCGACACTAATGTTAAGAGAGTCAGTGTGTACACCAGAGGGCAGCTCTACCTCTTCACAGAATCTGGACTGGAAAATCAGAGAATGGTGGGACTACAATGAAAGGGAAAAATAGCTATATCATGAGCAATTTGGACAAGTTAATTTCAAATGCAAATTTTGAAGGCATATCACTCAAAGGTTTGTTTCATTGTAGTGGTCTCATGTTGTTTTTTGATTCTTTGAGTATACATTCAATCTTAGAGCTACTTTCCTGAAAATATAAATTTTCTTGAATATTGCAAAAGTCCCAATGGTATACAGATACTCTCTTTGCAACAAATAATATTCCAAGCAAAGTCATGAGATGTAAAATTTATCTTCCTATTACAAATAAATTGTATTACTTTTTTTTAACCTTAGAATGTAAATTGAATACAATAAACATTTCCTCACAAATAAGGTAAAACCATATGATAATCCAAAGAAGAAATATAAACTATGCTAAAATTTTAGACTTAAATAGGTTTCATAGAAATTAAGATATAATTTCAAACAATATGGCTTTATTTTCAACTTATACATTATCTGTTGGAAATATATGCCTCTTGGCTGGCAGAATAGCTCAAGTGTAGAGCGCCTTCTAGTAAGTGTGAGGCCATGAGTTCAAACCCCAGTGCCACCAAAAAAGGGAGAGAGAGAGACAGAGAGAAATGTCTGCTTCTCATTTAAAACTATTATTCTTGCTTTAATCACATTTTTACTATTTCTTTAAATACTGAACACAAAATTTTGTTTTCCTCCATCTTACATGGGTTACGCACTATATTACACATTAAAACTAAGAAATTTTTAATTATTCATTAATTTAATTAAATAGTAAATTCAGTGCACAACAAACACATTTTTCTGAAAGAGAGCTGTATTTTCCAAACAAAACTTTAAAGAGAAAAGTGGCATTGTTTTATAATATTACAAGTCTCTGCTTATTGACTGGCTCAATAGAAGCCAGTCTATTGCTTCTATTCAAATAGAAAACAGATTCTCCATCTATTTCTGCACTCAATTTGATATAACTGTACATTATTCACTCCCTGGAAAACTCCACTTAGCACTCATGACAGAATCAGAGTAGAAAAGGCAAATGTCTCTCACTATTAGTA